CTACAACCATCTGATCTGAGTTCTAACTGCATAAAAGACATTTCCTCATCTTCTTCCAACTCAATCTGTCTAAATACAAAGTAATTTCCTCTTCCTCTGTCCCTAATCCTTTTTTCCCACTTTCCTCATTTGGCTATTGAGCATAACCATTTGCCCCACCTCTACGCTCTAATCCTCTTTCCTCAACATACACCACAATCAAATCATCTCTAAACTTTGGTTTTAAACTTGCCATCTTTTCTATCTTCCTTGCTACTGCCTTAGTTCCACCTCATCATATCTTTCCAAACCAAACCAAACCCACTTCTGTCAAATTGATTCTGACTCATAGTGACCCCCATTGATTTCCAAGGTGATAAACCTTTACAGAAGTAGATTGCCCAGTCTTGCTTCAGTGGAGTGGCTGGTGGGTTTGAACTACTAACCTTCTGGTCAGCAGTCAGATGCCTTAGGCACTGTATTACCAGAGCTCCTTCATCACGTCTTTAGGATATTATTCCAATTCAGTGGTTTCCTAACTGGCCTCACTGTCTAGTTAATTACCCACTGTAGCCCACATACTGTATGCATTACATATTTAAAAAAAAAAGGCAATGCTATCATTTTATAAAACAAAACCCATGCCATTCTCCTGCCTAAAAACCTCAGCTGATTCTCTACTGTCAGATAAAATCCTTAGTTTAACAAAGGCCCCTTCATAATTCAGCACCAAATGTTTTTTAGTTTTCCCATGTTAGAGGTCCCCTATCAGTGGCAAACCTCCCTATTCCCAATAATATATCTTACTTTTCTGCTTAATAATTTTTCCTGTCTCATTATCATGACTTTTCACATGCTATCCCTTTGTCTGGAATACCTTTGTCTCCTATGCCACTTAGTCGACTAACTCTTAATTCATCCCTGCAAGATCATCTCTTCAGTGGAATGCTCTCACTTGCCCAGACAGAACTGGCTGCTCTTTCTTTACGTCACAGTAGCTTTTAATCTTCCAAAACCCTAACTATATTATTTCATAAATGTTTATGTTTCTGCCAACCTATAAGCCTTTAAGGTTGAAAAAGCTAGAATCCCATTTTATTCATATTTATTTTTCTCAGGGCCTAACATTATACCTGGGAGCTCTGGTAGCATAGTACCTGAGACACTTGACTGCTAACCAGAAGGCTGGCAGTTCAAACCCACCAGCCACTCATCGGAAGGATGGGGCAATCTACTTCCGTAGTGATACTGCCTTGGAAACCCAAGGAGGGGTCGCTATGAGTCAGGTCTGACTCGACGGCACATAACAACATTATACCTGGCACACTGTAGATACTTAAAAAATATATGCTGTCTTTAAAAAATGCTGTGATAACTTTGGTCTATTTTATCTGACCATTCTGTCAAAGTTACCTTCCTAAAATACAAATCTAATTATATTAGCTTCGTGCTTAAAAAAGTGGTAAGAACTCTCAGAAGATCATATGATTTAGGTGCAATTCCTCAATAGTGTTTTAAAACCTGTTGCTGTTGAGTCGATTCTGTCTCATAGCCACCCTACAGAACAGAGTAGAACTGCTCTATATGGTTTCCAAGGCTGTAATCTTTACAGTGGTGCAGTGGTTAAGGCATTCATTCAGCTGCTATCCTAAAGGTTGGCAGTTTGACTCCACCAGCTGCTCTGTGGGAAAAAGATGAGGCAATCTGCTCCTGTAAAGATTTACAGCCTGGGAAACCCTATGGAGCAGTTCTGCTGTCCTATACAGTTGTTATGAGTTGTAATTGACTCAATGGCAGTGAGTGTTTTTAGTGGGATATCTTTATGAAAGCAGACTATACCACATCTTTCTCCCACAGAGCAGCCGGTAGTTCAACCCACAAACTTTTTTGTTTAGGAGCCACAAGGTTAACCACTGCACTACCAGGGCTCCTTGCCTTTCAGGCTTCTGTCCTATAATTAATAATGTATACAAAGATTTAAAAATTCAAGCTGCAACTTAACATTACAATTTCACATTTCAATAATCCTTGCAAGTGTCTGTCCTGCCAAACCACTCGTATGTTTTTAGGAAAACCTCTTTCATATTCAGTTTCTGATACCCAAAAAATCCTCATTCACCCTCTTTATCTGGTTATTTCCTACCCATCCTTCAAGATGTAATTAAAATGTCACTTCCTCTGTAAAACTTTGTCCCAAATGCTTTATATACTATAATTCTTGTCCTTTAATATTTAACTAAAGATGCCTTGCAACTAAAAAAAAAAAAAAATTTAATATGGTTGTTGTTGTTAGTTGCTATTCAGTTGATTCCAACTCATGGAAACCCCATGTGTACAGAGTAGAACTGCTTCATAGGGTTTTCAAGGCTGTGACCTTTTGGAAGCAGATTGTCCAGCCTGTGTTCCAAGGTGCCCATAGATGGGTTTAAACTACTAACTTTTCAGCCAGTAGTCGAGCAATTAACCATTTGCATCATCCAGATTTTTTTTTTTTATTAAACAAATAGAAACCTTTATAATCTTGGTTTCTGCACAGCATCCAGATAATTTCCATCACAGAACTATGAGAACTTGGAGGGTAGTGTAGAAATCATGTACGTCCCCATAATTTTTTTTCTTCTGTTTTCATGTACTAGTGCTAGTGAAGTGGATAGCAAATAAGTACTTTCCAAATGTACTTTTTAATGAGTAAATTGTACAATCTACAGAGTAGGATAAACTGGCAGGAGAATAACTTGATTAGGGAATCAAAAAGTACATCCCTAGTTTTCAAGTAAATTGGGAAAACTAGATTAGCATCAAATAATAACAGTTCACTCTTAAGTGTTCCTCCTTTTCAGACAGAAGGCTTGGGAATCTGTTGATAACTTCCTATGAGACTGAAAGTGAGACTACCTTTTGTGTGTGTGTGAAAATATTTATTTATTTTTGCAGTGTTCTCTCCCCTCCCACCCCTGGTAACCAACAAACAAAGTTACCTTCCATATATAAATCTTTCCTTGACTTTTTACAATAATGAACTAATATATGTCCTTCTGTGATTTGACTTATTTCACTCAGCATAATGTCTTCCAAGTTCATCCATGTTACGCGGTGTTTTGTAGAGTCTACATTATTCTTTAGTGTTGTATAGTATTCCATTGTGTGTATGTACCATAGGTTGCTTATCCATTCTTCTGTTGATGGGCACCTAGGCTGTTTCCATCCTTTTGCTATTGTGATAGTGCTGTGATGAACATCAGCATACCTATATCTATTCTTATCCTGGCTCTCATAAAAGTGAGACTACTTTTAAGATAATTAACATCATGGTCATGGATTCCTGGAACTGTTACCTACTTCTTTCCCAGGCAAGGGCCTTTGGTGGTAAGCACTTGGCTACCAACTGAAAGATCACTGGTTTGAACCCATTAGCTGCTAGATGGGAGAAAAATGAGGCAGTCTGCTTCCTTAAAGATTACAGCCTTGGAAATCCTATGGAGAAGTTCTACTCTGTTCTATAGGGTTGCCATAAGTCGAAACTGGCAATGGGTTTGGTTTGGTTTTTGGTTTTCTTTCCCAGGGGATTACTGTGCTGTTTACTGAGATTATGAGCCACAGCTTCTGTGTATCTTCAGAGTATACTGGTTAGGTATACTACACATATACCAGTTTCCAAAACTGTTGAGTGTGGTCACTGCTATCTTGAATAGCCTTGTAATCTTTAGCACAGTTTCAGCAGAAGATATTGTAGAGGTATATTTACTGGTGCCAATACAACAGAACTAGAATTGACTTCAGGCACTCATTTACAAAGAAAACTGCAAATGTTGTCTTAAATTGAGTAATCTCACTCCAGACCACCTGAAATTCATTTTCATGCAAATAATGAAGAACCTCAATGCTAGGAAATATGAACTGCTGTGACAGTTCTGAGATTTCATTTCAATGACTTTAGAATGCAATGGTTTCTCAAAGTGAGAGATGGGCAAGCGTTGATAGCACTCCTTGAGCTGGAAGAGAACTGAGAAATGAGCAGGTTCCAACCACTTAATTTTACAAATGAAGCTACTGAGGCCCAGAAAAGTTCAGTTATAAGCAGATTTTCTGCAATTATACAACCCATTTTATAATCCCTACACAATGAGATGTGTGTGGCTACAGTAATGGAGGCTGCTAAGGAACTAGATTGAGGCTAGACAATAAAGGATTTTGTACTGGATGCTGAAGAGCTTAGGGCTTCCCTAGTAGACATCTGAGTCATAGATAGCAGGATGGCAAACTTCTAAGATGGCCCACAACAAGATCCCTGCCCCCTTGTGTACATGCCTTGTGTAATTACTGGACTGAACAGGATGGATTAATTACTCTCTTAATTAGGTTACATTATGTAAGACTGTCTTAGCAGACCAGGCAGGAAGATTCTCCTGCTATCCCAGAAGAAAGCAAACAGTTTCCTTGTGAGAGGAAGTAGCCAAATGGCAAGGACCTAAGGGCAGCTGGGAATGACCCCAATCTACAGCCAGAATGAAAACAGAGACCTAGACCTACAATAACAAGGAACTAAATTCTGCCAACAAACTGAATGAGCTTGGAAGGGAATCCTAAGCTTCAGATGTGATCAAAGCCCTGCTGACACTCTGATTTCAGCCTGTGAGACCATGAGCAAAGAACCCAGCTGAGAGATAATAAAAGTATGATGTTGTAAGCCTGTAAGTTTGTGGTAGTAAGTTTGTGGTAATTTGTTATACATTATAGAAAACTAAACTTTAAGACATATTTCAGAAATCATTCTGAATACTTCAACCTGAACTACTAAATGGACACTGTTTCAGATCAGCAAAGTAACTCAAATGGAAAAAACTTCATGTACAAATCTATTATATTAAGTCATATGAAACAAACTTTTTATTTTAGTAATAAAGGGCCATTTTAAAAAGCTGTTGTTTTAATATTAAGGATATTCATTAGTTCTTTACCTGCAAATATTTGGTTTCAAAAGGTTCAGGTAATTAGAAACTTTATGAGCCAAAAAAGGATATTCTCTAAACTGAAGAATTTGTGCTTGAACATGATCTTCACAAACCTGACGTAGCTGTTTGTAGAGTGTTGGGGAAACTTTGTGAGAACAGAGATTTTCAACAGCCTAAAAATAAAAGGAATAAATTCATTATTCAGTATGAATAACAAATTAGTTCTTTTAAAAAAAAGAAACAAAAAAAATTTATATAGTTATAATAGAAAGGCAAAACCCCCAAAACAGTACTTATCTCAATTAAAAATAAATTGTTTATTCTGTTCCAGATTACAGCAATTACTGCTCAACACTGGAATCCAGTAATAGTTTGGTTAAAAAGGTATATAACATAATACAGAGACACAGATTCAACTGCCTATCTACAATACCTACTGTGTTATGCAATGTACTTGCACCATTTTTAAGCATCTCAAAGTATTGGCACAGTGTCTAAGGCATATGACTGTTAACCAGAAGGTTGGTGGTTCAAACCCACCAGCCACTCCATGGAAGGAAAATGGGGCTATCTGCTTCCATAAAGATTTACTGCCTCAGAAACCCGATGGGAGTTGCTATGAGTCGGAATCAACTCAATGGGAGTAGGTTTGGTTTGGAATAGCTTCTAAGCCTGGCTGCACATCACAATCACAAGTAAGATCTTTAGAACATTTAGTTCCATGGTCTTATTTCTGGATAACCAAAAAAACCAAACTCACTGCCATCGAGTCAATTCCAACTCATAGCGACTCCTCCTTGGGTTTCCAAGGCAGTAAATCTTTACAAAGATAGATTGCCCAGTCTTCCTTTTGCAGAGTGGCTGGTGGTTTGAACCGGCAACCTTCTGGTTAGAAGTCAAATGCCCTAGGCACTATGCCATGAGAGGGCCTTTATTTCTGCATTTTATGATTTTTTAAGTCTGAATTTGGGGGTCAGGAGAATGAGTATACGTATATGTGTGTGTCTAGTGAGCCCTAGGAGCTCTGGTGGCATAGTGCCTAAGACATCTGATGGCTAACCAGAAAGTCAGCAGTTCAAACCCACCAGCCACTCCTCAGAAGGAAGGCTGGGCAATCTACTTCCGTAGTGATACTGCCTCGGAAACCCAAGGAGGCGTCACTGTAAGTAGGATCTGACTCAACGGCAGTGCCTGACTGATAAAGCTGTGGTGGCTCAGTGGTTAAAGTGTCAACCCCAAAGTTGGTGGTTCAAATCCACCAGCCACTCTACAGGAGAAAGAAGTGGCAGTCTATTTCTGTAAAGATTTACAGCCTTGAAAACCCTATAGGACAGTTCTACTCTGTCCTATAGAGTGGCTATGAATCAGAATTGACTTGAGGACAGTGGGAGTGTGGGTCTGTGTGTATTTTTAAGTTTTTCCTGATGATTACATTATAAAATCAGAGCATAAAACACTACTTTAAAATAAAGAGTGTCTTCTCTCTCAGTGCCCACTCTCCAAAGAAGTGGAAGAGCAACAGTTCACTTTCTGTTCACTTAACTCTTAAAGTATAATAATGAAATGAAGGGAAAAAAACAAAGCTGAATACCCAAACAACATAGGCCAGGTTTTATTATTTCTTGCTTATTTTTTCCTGCAGGCTAGATGTGTAATTTGCTTAAAGCTTTGTCTTAAACTAACGAATAAACAAGTTTTTGAGGCACAACATTTTTTCTTGAAATATCTTCATCCCATAAAAGAAATGTGTATATTCTTACTAGTTATAAAATTTCCTTTCAAATATCATGTATAAAACCAGCATCTCATTCAATCCAAATACTAAACATTGTAAACAGAATTGTGGTTTTTCTACTAACTAGTTGTGAATCATTTTTAAAAAAGGTGGGGGTATACAGAATGGAAACACTTTAAATAGTCAGAATTTGACTCAATAATTATATTCCCCTGGGAAAAAACTCAACCCACTGCCACTGAGTAGATTCCAACTCATAGCAACCCCCACAGGGTTTCCAACCCTGTAAATCTTTATGGAGGTAGACTACCTCATCTTCCTCCCATTGAGCAGCTAGTAGGTTTGAACTGCTGACCTTCTGGTTAGCAGCCAAATGCCTTACCCACTAAGCCATCAAAGCTCCTCCTTGAAAAAAAGGTAATTTTTATAAAGATATACATTGTAGCAGTACTCAAAATTTCAAGATAAAAGAGAAATAATCCAAATACTTAGTATTAGGGAAATTACTATGTATTATATTAACCGAAATTAAAAATGACATGATTACTACCACATAAAACACAAGCAGGCCTTTTTACAAAGATCAAAAGAGAACGGAATGATGATAACCACAAAAATGTAAACTGTTTTCTAGTAAGTTCATTATTAACCTAATAACAGAAACATGTTTTCCCCTTCTATTTTATCTTCTCACCATCAAAATAAGATTCCTATCAACATTTTGTATTTATACCCTTCGATTCTTTTCTTTAATGCTTCAATTCCAGCATTTTTTGTATTAATCTCTTTATAGTTTAGTCAAAGATACACCATCATGTTCTCTTCTAACAAGTCCAGGATAACTTCACAACAAAGCTTTTAGCTCCAGTAGCTAATCAGTGAGCTACACAAGCATAACTATTACAAGGTAAGTTTTTTTCTTTTATATACGTGAAGATAATAAACTTTCTTTAGCAAAAATTAAAGTAAGTATATGTGTCTAAAACTCTATCTTGTTTTTGTTAGGTGCCGTCAAGTTGGCTCTACAGAGTTTCTCAAATTTATGCACCAACCACTGAAGCCAATGATGAAAAAAATTGAAGATTTTTACCAACTTCTGCAGCCTGAAATTGATGAAACATGTGATCCAGATATGTTGATTATTATTGATGATTGGAATGCAAAAGCTGGAAGTATGCTTCACCAGTAGTTGGAAAATATGGCCTTTGTGATAGAAATGACACTGGGGATTATATGATAGAATTTTGCAAGACCAATGACTTATTCCCTTTCTCAACAACATAAATGGGCTCTGTACATGTGGACCTTGCCAGATGGAATACACAGGAATCACATCAACCACATCTGTGGAAAGAGATGATGGAGAAGCTCACTATCTCTAGCATTGGAGTTTTCCATCAATCTTAGAGGTAAGTCCCTTGCCAGATATGGAATTATCAGCAAATAGGAATTTGTTGCTGTCATTTTTGCCATGTGCTTTTTCTTTGTGTCCATTTCTTTGTTCCATATAATTTTCTATGCTGAGCTCGTTTTGTTTGTGAATCATGTTATCACTTCCTTCATTGCTACTGTTTTAGTATTTGCTGAATATTTATGCTGGTCCTCTTTTTTTATTTTGATGTGAAGGTTTATCATTTTTCTTTGAGGTTACCCTGTGATTTATAGTTTTCTTCCCAAGTGTAGAACAGGCTGTTCTATCTTGTAGTTGTCTTGACTTCCCTACCATCTACAAGTTCTGTAATGACACAGATTTTTGGTTTGTAGTCCTCATTTGTCGGTTGGTGTCTCTTGTTCCCTATTTACAATCTTGTAGGCTTATCTACTTTGGACACTTCCATAGCTGGGTTGGTTTCTGGGTTATATCACCATGTGTGTTAATGGTCAGTTGTTGGCTGTTGTTGCTTCTCTGTCGAAAGGGCTCCCTTTAGCATCTCTTGTAAGGTTGGTCTGGTTTTAACAAATTCCCTTAATTGCTGCTTATCTGAAAATGTTCTAATTTCACCATCATATTTGAAGGACAGTTTTACTGGGTACATAATTCTTGTTTGGAAATTTTTCTCCTTCAGTGTTTTATATATACCATCCCACTGTCTTCTCGCCTGCATGGTTTCTGTTGAGAACTCTGAGCTTAGTCTATTGGTTGCCCCTTGTAAGTAACTTTTCGTTTTTCCCGTGCTGCTCTCATGATTCTTTCTTTGTCTTTGGTATTGGTGAGTTTGATGATGATATGTCTTATTGTTTTTCTTTGTGGTCTATCCTGTTTGGGGTTCACTGGACTTCCTAAATGGATAAATTCTCATCTTTCATCATATCAAGGAAGTTCTCCTCCAACAAATCATGGACAATTTTCTCAGTGGTTTCATTTTTCTCTTCCTGTTCTGGAATTCCAATGACACATAAGTTATTCCTTTTGATGATATCCCATATGAACCTTAAGCTTTCTTCACTTTGTTTTGATCTTTTTTTCTGACTGACCCCTTTCCAAAGAAGTATTCAGGTATTTGCCTTCAATCTCATTAATTCTATCTTCCATTGCATCAATTCTACTCATTTGCCCTCTCAATGTGTTATCTATTTTTGACAATTTAGTATTAATCTTCTGGAATTCTATCTGTAGATTTAAAATCATTTCTAATATTTCATTTGTTATTTTGTTCTTGTATTTTCTTCCAAAATCCTTCTAGGGCTTTGGCTGTGTTTTCCTTGGTCTGTCTCTCAGTCCTTTGAAGATACCTAAATATAATTCTTTTGAATTCTTTATCAGGGAGTTCCAATGCTGCATCTTCTCAGGGATGTGTTTTGGGTCTGTATCCTGGTTCCTTGTTTCTTCTGCTTTCTCTTGCTTTTTTGTGTGGATTGTGATGCTCTGTTGTCTCCGAGGCATTGTGACGTTTTTGTGTTTATATTTAATTGGTGATTATATGTTGGAGTGACTTGCCCACAATTTTCGTTTATTTTGTTTGTATGTTATCTATACAGGCAGGGTACTGTGCTGTGCTCCTCTATTCACTAGTTGACAGCACTTATACACTCACCACCTGTCTTTCTTTTGTCAGCCTCTCATATGTCCTTGCTGCCCCTGGCAAACAGAGCCTGTTCTTAGGTCCCTGGAATCCAAATAAGAATGCTATCACTTTAAAATCCAAAATGGTTGCCACTTGTAAAGATTCAAAATGGCTGTGCCCTCGGTCACTTTAAATATCCAAGATGGCTGCCACGTGTAAACAATCAAAATGGCTGTAAAAAGTCCACAGCTCAGGTTGTATCCCTCCTTGCTGTTTCCCTTCCTAGTCATAGGCCACCAGAGCAGTTGTCCCTGCAGCCCTTGGTGACCAGGACTGATCTTTAGGTCAATTCTCAGGGCCTAACACCACCTGGAAATATTCAGGTTGTTGGTCTTGTCAGAGTAGCTGATAGTCCGCAACTCCGATCATCTCT